AATGTTCCCCTCGTCATTGAAAATAAGATGTAAGCAATAAATAAAGAATAATATAAATTTTACAACGCCTATATTTAGATACAAATGTTTGTAAACTATAGTTTATACATCATCATAAAATCCCAGTAAAAAATCCATGGAAAAAAACTTAAAACACCGACAATTTTTTTTTTAATTATAAGAGCTTTGTATTTCATTTGTTTCTTTTACTTTTTATTACCCAGCTATTGATAACCATTTTGACAATTAATTTAATTTATATTGTTGAGTACTAACCAATATAAATTAAAAAATATTGTACTTTATTCATTCAAATGAGTATTTTCAGAAGTTAAGAATATAAAGTACAATTGAAAATTTCTTAGAGACTATTTCATTTAATAGATGGATTAAACACGATTAATTTAATAACTTTATGTGTACTTTAATTATTAAATTTTTAATTCTTTAATTAAAAATTATCAAATAAAATTTTCATGAAAATGAACTACCTACCGAAAATTATCTGACAATTGACAAATTACGTACCACGATTATAATGTATAAGTTATTATTATTATGTTACAGTACCTAAAATCAATAAAATATTAAATAGAACTATTATATGGCACTCGCGCATGGACTTTTATTTTTGTGAGTTTTTTTTTTGTTGGATTTTTTTTCCGTGGTCATTTATTGCGCCTATCAATAATCTTACTATGTAGATAATTATTTTTCTACAATTGTTAAACCTTATTAAACCTAGCCAAATCACTGAATCTGTTTTAAGTCATAGTCGATCTAATGAATGTTATGATTTTTCTTAAACATAAGCTAAGTATATTTACAATATTAATATATTATATAATGTTTTACACATCGAACTCATGATAGTTTTTTCTTTAAGTAAGGATTCCGACTTGAACTAGGGGAGAGAACTTCTTATGTTACACCAATGTTCAATATATATATATAATGTAAGTCAATAGAAATCATAACGAGATCTGCTAAAAACAAACAAAATGTTAGGTCCTGGTACGAGCTCAAGTGATATTAATGATATTATAGTAAGTAAAACTAGAATGAGGTATCAACTACTACGATTTAAAGAATAAAACAAGCGATACTACAACTTTTCGATTATTACTAAAAGGTCGTTATAATGGAATTAATTTTGGTCTACATACTTGGGCTAAAATGAGCCTTCCTTTATTCAGCCATTTTGTAATTTCTGGCCATTTTTGACCAATACACTATTTGGTCATCAATGTAAAATTGTATTATTCACAAATCAGCTGTTTGCATAGCTATAAAATTATGATCTTTCTAAAATATTTTACCTGTTTATAGTAAATACCTAAAAAAGACTATAGAACTTCTACTGTCTGTTAATATTATCACTTAAGTATTTTCATATAGTTGAGTTATGTGCAGTGTATGTGTGTGTGTACTGCAACCAGGGTTGGAATGTGTTAAAACAAATGGTTTTGTTTGAAATGCTTTAGTGCTTTACACATAAACGTTTAAAAGTTTTAATAAACGATTAAAAATAAATGTACAATTTTACGGTAATTTTTTTCTATAAAATACACGCTTTGTTTGCAGATCACGGTATATACAACCATGATGTCGATAATATAAGAACGATGTTACTTTATTAAGTATCTACCTACATAATACATTTGAAACAACGCATTGTATTATGAATTTTTTTCATATATTGTTTAAAACATTTTAAAGTCATTTGGAAAAACGTTTAAAACAAAAAAACAACGTTTTAAACGAATAAAGTTTATGTTTTGTATTATTTAAAGAAAACTTTTTTTCCAAACCTGACTGAAACGTAGTAGTATATGGTATACGTATCACGTATGTACTCGTGTTAAAAATTCACTAGCGTTTATTTTAATAACTTTAGGCAGTTATAATAATAAACATACCAATATAATATTTATTTATTTAAAATTTTTTTTATAATGGTGTAAATTTACATTAGTGACCAAAATAGTGTACTAGCCAAAATGGTTATTATAGAATGACTAAAACTGTTAAGCCCACCCATTCATTATATTTTGTTTATTATCTTTAGTTATATAATATACATATGCATAACTTATTACAATTTTATAGAATTTCTATGTTATATTACATAAACATGATTACTATAAGTTATGGTATTTTTAGTTTATAATAATTACTTGAACGTCAGTTGTGTGAAAACACTTATCATGTCGCTTCATTAGTTTTCATCTGAAGAATAAGTCGAAATGATAAGTTTGAAAATGGTGAGAAGAAAAAGAGTGATCGCAAGAATTCGACGACTTTTCGTCAACAATTTTAATCACGAAAATGACATATTTATGGGATGCTCAGTTAACGTAAAAGGTTTTTTTTTTTGTAAAATTTATAATATTAGATTTTAAATTTTAGTATAATGAATTTATTAATTATTTAATATTTTAATTTTAATGCAATAATAATCATGAAATTGTGCACGATTTTTTATTGGTAAAATAATATGCAATATAGAGTTTTCAATATATTAGAATACATAATGACCATTGACCAATGACTAATGACATATATGTGGATTCAAATATAAAATATATTATATATTATGCACTTATAATTAAACTATAATATTTAATGGCTTGAAATTTAAATAAGTAATAGGAATACGATTACCTATACTATCGTTTATTTGTCAACATAAATTTTAAAATACACTTATATTATATATGAATATTGAATATAGATAGATAACCAAACAACTCCCAGTCAAGTGTCACTAATGGGTGGCTTCTTATTTCAAATATTCAATCTTTTTTTTTTTGTTCTATCATCACATATTTTTTTGTGGTTAATAGTACAGATTAAATAAATCTTAAAAAGAAACAAATTTTATTGTATATATCGATAAGCATGATAAATTATAACTGACATAAAGTTTAGAAAAATGATATGAGAAATATGGTAAACGCAAAAACCGATGGCAGATTGTATATTAACCATTAACTAGAATAAATTATAACACAAAATTCTTGGAATCCTTGTCGGTAGATTTTTAACTGCTTTATCAAAATAATATGGATATTTATAACAACTTGTGCGAGTGTAATAATGATGTTACACTTCAGAGAGTAAAACATATTAGTAGAAACTATTTTATTTCTAAAAAGTAGAACGCGATGATTTTGCCGTCTTTTGTATCACAGTGAATAATTTTAAAGCTCTCAGTCTTACAACACGTTGATGCATTTATCATTTATACATTTTTTTTTTCATAGCCAACCTAAATTATTATACAACTGTCGAATTGTAAGTGCAAAAGAAACTATACTCATTCACCGCTATTATTTTTAGAACAATTACATGTTTTTGTACAGTTAAATAGCAGCTAATCATAATTAGTTAACTACCTAGTATATTGTGATTATGTATAATATTTATTTTAACTTTTAAGGGTTGAATGAGTTTAAAAAGTTTTACGTAAAAAGATTGACATAATTGTACATTAGGTTATGGTAGTTTCCTAAAACGTACCAGTAAGGTAGAACAATAAAAGGTAATAAACTAGCTAATTATTTTATTTTCTTACAGATATAATGTATGTTATAGTTGATTTGAAACTACAACTAACTAAAATTGACGAATATCCTCGTTTTATTTATTTTGTTGTAGTTTAAAACAATATAATATACCAAAATATCAACAACAGAGAATAGAAATTTACTTCAATAATCATAAAATATTTAAGTATTGACAACATAAATACTATTTACAGTAAAAAAATATAAGTAATTACTGGTTAGTGTAAAAGTACTGTAGACGTCAATCTAAAAAATGTACGCAAAAATAAACAAAACTTTTTACAATATACGAATTATACAATAAGTAGGAACCTCTATTCGTGATATAATTACCTACCTAAAATCTTAAATTTTTTGATACAGGTAAACAACCCAGACTGTAGTGGCGGTTTAAACGTAATTTTTAAATCTATACGAATAGAATTCGTGTTTCTGGGAAAATATGCGAACATGCGTGCCGAGGTTTTATAATTAAGTGTAATATACACGGTCTTGGTCCAGATGGTTTTCAAACTCGCGAATAAAAACTTTTGGCGCGCGGGTATCGTTATCGCCTCGATCCGAACCCCGTGCTCAGAAACGGACGGAACAATCATTCTGCACTCGTGTGATGGTCGGGTGAGCGCCCTGGTCTGATACTACTATATTAAATCGTTGAGCGCAAGCGTCGCACTGTCTACGTTTAACGATAAGCGTTGCAATCTCGCAATGGCAACGGTAACTACGGACACGACATCAAAGCAGTGAGACTGGCGATGCAAGTTGCAAACGCTCCTTCACGTCTCGGCTCTCCGGTTTTACGCGATCCTCAAATCGTTTTCGGTTCTCGTAACAGTACCAACCCGCTCGCCGATAATATTATCAGCTAGAACCGAAAATCATACAATATAATATTAAAAAATATACGTCTACCAAACTACGATTTTCGATCCTGAAGAGCTAAAAATAGATCAAAACCGCTACCATTAAAACATAATCACTAGTCGCAATACGCACACAGAACAGATTTTTTAAAGAGTTGATTTTAATATCGCAGGACCTTAAGACTCTCTGCCCTCCTACCACAAAATTAATAAAACTAGCATGGGTAGGTACTTATATATTACCATCTCCGTTATATGCATGTCGACGGCACAAACTCTCTAATTATATTTCGATTAAACAACTACTAATTATTTCTGTCTTGCTTAAGCGACTTCAAACATAAGTGATTGTAATGATTGTAGAGACGTCATCGTGTTTAAAAAAGCGAGAGGGGGTAAATCTCGATAGAGTTAAACGAGAAAACTACCGGTTGACGCTTGTTGTCAATCTATCGACCACATTGTAATAATTGTATCATTGTAAGCTGATTACCAAACGGAGTTACACAGTAACATTTCGTCATAATGATATTATCACCTATATATATATCAATATACTAATACTCACGTTATGTGCGATCACGCCACCTGGCATTGTTCCGGACGCCCCCGGGGTTGCAGTGGCGCCCGTCGAACAGTTGTTGATCGACTGCGACGAGTACCGGGACTGATCGTTCAGGAAACACAGCAGCTGGTAGCCGAACCACTTGGGGTTGTAAACGGCGCCACCGGATTCTCGGGCTCGTTTTACTTTGACGTTTTCCCGGCTGAACTGCACGCGCAACGTGCATATCTTCTTGGCGATCTCCTCCTTGGGACACTTGAGCTTGGCGCTGATCTGCTCCAGGGACTCGTTCTTCATACGTTTGTTACGGTAGTGCACCGAACTGGTGTCCCACAGGGCAGGACGGTCCCGGAACAAGTCGATCAGCTGGATGGTCTGCTCTCGGTACCACTCCATGGCCACCCCGGCACAGGGTTCGTGGACCACTAGCACCAACACCGCGCCACACGACTTCCGTCGACGTGCGACGGACGTGAGTGGAAAACCGTTGGGCTTTCGTTTCGAATTTCGGACAGTACAAGTGGCGGGTAACGCGCATGCGGGGTCAGTCGGCGGCGTTAAACTAACAAAAATAATAATAATAACGTCAAAGGCGGGAGATTTTAAATATAATTATAACGATAATTATTTCAAAAATGTAATAATAGTATCGTTGTGCCGATCAATCGACAACGAAGAAGTGAAGAAGTGAAGATGCAAGAGGAGCACAATAACACAACAACCGACGGAAACAGGCGCGCGTTTCGATGGTTGATGGCAAACTGCACCGGCCTTGGGTTTAGTTCACGTTATAAAACAATGTTTAGTGAACAACTGCCGGCCGCGGCGCGTTGTTGCCGCGGCGCATGCGCACCGGATTTCGATCAACAAAATAATGTTTTCCGTTTGTACATCGGGAAAAACAAAAACCCGGTCGTAGTTGTCGTCGTCGCCGCCGCT